CACACATCCGAAGGAGCTTGATAGCTGCATGAGGACACACTAGAGACCAGTAAGGTGACAGTTTAGGTTGCCTCCTTCTTTAGACTTATCCACAGGAGAAATCCTAAGCAGTTTGTGCCTGGTTACCCAAGCAGTGGATTGTCCTCTGTATGGTGTGAGACATAGTATACAACTGCAGCATGAGGGTTACCACTGCACAAATCCAGGAACCACAGGACATACTTTAATTAATGTGCTTGTTTGTCCAAAAATTATTATGTTCATATCAGGAGCCAGCTGTCAAAATAACCTTAGTATGTTCTAAAAGAAAAAATCGGGAGTGAAAAAGCCCCATTCAGAAATTACTGTGCTTTATCAGGGTAATAAAGACCTCACTGATCAATTAGCTTGAAAAATTAATAAATCAAGGACAAATGTAATTAAAGTTTAGCGTCTTAATAAGCTATTGTGGTCACAGCCCAGTTTGGACATACTGCTCTTTTGTTGACATTTTTAATGCTTTCTGTGGATTACCAGAACAGGAGCAGTATATGAAAGCTTGTTAAGCATCCACGTGCTCAGCCCGGCCCTAGCATTAATGCTGGCTCAGTGCAATCCTCGCTGCTGGCACAGGCTCTGCAGGGCTTGAACCTTGCAGTGCTGGGCATTGTCTTTCTTCCTAATCATTGTATGGACTTACTCAAGTGTGTTTTACAAGCTTAGAGGAAATTCATGAATGTGCAATTATCTATATGTAACTTTTTTAACAGGAGCCAACCAGGCTTGGGTTTTTGTTGTTTTGTGGTTTGTTTTTTCCCTCAGGACCCTGCAGTATCTTTCTGTAGCTAGTAGGGGGATACTTTCAGCCTGGCTTTCAGGTCTGACTGGTATTTCCTTTCCTGATTAACAGAGAAGTGGGTGCACTAGCCCTTTCAAACCACACAACTCTTGCATCCCTCTCTCCTGGTCCCCTACAGTGAATTTAAAGTTCTGAATGTTTTTTAAATGCCTCGATCTAATTCCCACTTGGGTAAGATCTGTTACAGCAGCTTCCAGCCAGATGCAAATTAAAACCTTACTTTTGAAAATTCTTCATTCATTCACAGACCTTTCAGCTGTGCAGTGCTACTTTAATTTTGAACTTGTTTTGCAGACCACTCTAAGTATGAGGTGAAGTTGTTGACAGCATATCTGTCCCTCTCTTCCTTTCATTTAGACAAAAATAACAGATTACGTATGAGAAGCTCACTTCATATTTTGGGGAACTTTGCTGGTTTTCCTTTTCAGTCATTGGCAGTTACAATTCTGTGGCCCTAAAATGAAACAAAGTGATTTTCCTTCCACAAAAAACACCACTTGCACTGTATCACACAAAAGTGTTTTAGAACAAATGTCCACAGCATGCCACGTGCAGATTTATCCCATCTTATTTTTAAATGGTTAACTGTGCATACCCCTGGTCCACAATCCTATTCCAAAAATACCTGGGGTTTATCCTTATCATATTGCCCAGCTAACGTTAAGAAATAGGCTCGAGGGGCTCAGTACGGATTAGATTCACCTCTTACGCAACAGAGTACAAGATCCAGGGAGAAGCCAGAGCCCTGACTTGGGAAGAGCTCTGGCCTCTGCGGGCCAGGGAATCCCTTGGCAATATCCCTTGCATATGCTGAGAGTACCGGAATGCTTCCCACTGACTTCACTGGAAGACGATGCTGCCCTGGAAAGGCATTCATTTGTTTACAAAGGCCAGGATAAATAAGGTCACTCAAAGTTATAATTATTTTTTATTGATTTGATTCCTTTTAGGCTTACCAGCTCTGGAATACTTGGTAAACAGGACAAGCATCAACACTTGTTTCTTCCAAATGTGGCTGAACAGATCCAGCCCATAGGAAAAGCACCCTCGCCACCTCCCCAGAGGGACATTCCATCCATTTATGGCATTTTCTGCCATGTTGACAAGGTTCACTGACCCTTCTGCTGTTTTCACCAGTTGTTTTTGCCTCAGCCTCAGCATACAGCTCTTCCCCTTCTCCACCTTTCCCTCCTTTCTGCCCACATTCCCAAAAATCAAATACCATCCCTGTCCTAGACCTGCAGATCAGGTTAGATGGATGTTTTGTCAAACACCATATGTCCGTTCTTGTGTCCTGAGTTTTCCTCCTCCTCAGTTGTCTCCAGTCACCTTTGGTCACCAAGTTGTTGCACCAGCAAATGTTTTGATCTTTTACTGACAGCACTGGCAGTTCAGGTGTTTGGTGAACAACTGTATCACATCCCATACTGAGCAATTTGAATTCCATGTGTTGGCTTCAGGATCTTCAGTCAAAGATATACCCTGGTGCAAAAACTTTTTTAGGTCTTCTCATGGCTGCAGTGGGTGAATTAAATTAGTATCTTATTAATTATGTTTAGCAGTGAAGAAAAAACTGACCATCATTTCTATATATTTTATGTAATTTGGGGAATAAAAAATGATTCCTAGAATCAATAATTGTTTGATTTCCTGTTCCCACCACAGGCTGGACTCTTGCTAGGTCAGTCAGGAGGCAGAAGGAGATATCATGTTAAATTGTCTGCTCTGCAAGCAGTTCCTAGATTGGAAATCATGGAGACTCCTAGATTGGAAATCATGGAGACTATCTTCCTCAAGTCTAAAATTACTGCCTGCTGTTCTTCAGCAGGTTGCATGCAGTTGAGCTTTGTAGTATACCTCCTTGGCAGGTATTATCTCATCTATTCTGTAGCTAGATAAACCAAAGTATTTGTCCAAAATAACTCAGAGACAGGTAGAAAAAAGTAGTCCAATATGTGCAGTCCTTCTGTTAAAGCCACATTAAGATTTCCTGCAAAACTCAGGGCATACGTAGTGCTTGACTACCCCATAAGATCTGGGCAGAATGAAGCAGCAAACTCCCTATCATGAATTGGGGAAAATTCATTCCAAGATGAGGATCCCAGATAAGATATATTATACTGGCCCTCCTGAGCCCCATTATTTTGTCTGGAAGCAATGTGAGAACTTTTTAGCAGCTCTATGCGCAGAGGGACTTGTCCCCAGAGCATCATGTGCCTTGTAAAGATGGGTGTTCAAAGCCTACCTGCTCCAAACCTAACCTGCAATGCAGTGAATGCCAGATGGTAAGCAGCCCTTGAGTCTCGCTTCAGTTTCCACATCCCCACCACCCCTCAACATGATTAAACACCAAATATGTGTTCTAATGTTAAACCCCAGCTGTGATGTTAAAATATCTTTAGGTCATACCTATAATCAGGAAAACAATGACTCAGATCCAGAAGTGCCTCTTATAGGACTCTGAATATCCAAAGGTGAAATAAAGGGGGGGTTAGATTTGTTATAGCCTTTTTCTTTTATTGGCCAAGTATTCAGTGTTACTCTTCATTATTTTTTTTTATCCTTTTGAAAGCTTTACAGCCTCCCTGCATAACCGCCTCTGCTCCATTCTCTCCTGAATGGACGGTGCGCTGATCTTTTTCTCCATGGGTAATTGATTTGGTTTGATTGCTTGACACAGGAACAATGCGGGGATAAACAATTGCCTTGGCGCCTGTGCAGCTCCCCATCTGTTGAGTGCGTGCGCCTTCAGAGGGAGCTGGGCAGGGACAGATGAACACGCCAGCCGAGCCTGATGTTAATGACATCGGTCATACAAGCAGAACATGTGGCGCAATAAATCAAAAACTAATTGAACTTTTGCTTGATTATATTGCCGTCCCACCGCCCCTTTCAAGCATGGCACGCTTCTCTGGGACAATGCCCCCAGCCCCACAATGGCTTTGCTGTTCCTGGACAGCAGGAGGCTGCCCTGGGAGGTGACAAGTGATACCAGCTTCTCTTCGCTCCTTTCTTTCTTGAAACAGTGACACCTTCCACTCAGCCCAAATGCTTCCAGGCTTGGGAATGTATTTGGCCAATAGTTATTATTTCAAAGAAGGGATGTTACATGAATATGACAATGACAGTCCATGTTTGCTGGCATTTTCCATCTGAGACTGTTGGTGGCAGACATCTATAAGAGAAGACAGCACTAGTTTTTGTGTTAATTACACACATATGCTAGTAATGAAGGCTGTTCATTAGACTGATATAATTTAATATCATTATTCACACTTGAAAGTGCTTCTGCTACATCATTTGCTGGAGTCTGCAAGCCAAAATTTTCAAACTTAGGTGTCCATGGCAGCAGAAAGTCCCCGGAAGTTGAGGGGTGCTGATTTTCGTAGATGTGGAAAGGAGCAATTTCTGATGGGAGCATTAAGGAATGAAAAGCTTTGGCAAGAAGACCCTTTATTGAAGTGCATAAATATGAAATTAGGCCCCAGAAACATCAAGTCATGTAGGAACCCATCTGTGACTGAGCCACCTGCCCTGCCTCTGCAGCCACTAAAGTGTAGGGGGCATATAGACCTAAATACATCTGCCTGACGTGCCTTTCTTTAGTCATCTGCATGTCAAATTTTACACTGAAGTGCCCAAGATTTGGGTACAAATTTAGGAACTTAAAAGGTAAACACAAAATGTTTTTCTTAATACACCTAGAAGCAGCTCCTCATTATATGGGAGGAGTAAATTATTACAATAAATGTGTTAAAGTACACAAAGTATTAACCCAAATTATTTTTAAAATCCTTGCAGTACTTCTGTAAATGTTTATTTGCCTATACATTGGCTGCACAGAAAAGACATTAATTATTAGACATTTATTGCAGATTCTCCAAACTGGTAAAAGGAGATGTAAAATAAAACACTCCTATCTAGGTGGAGGCTTGAGTAACATCTAAATTAAATCTTGCATTGATAGTATTCATAGAAAGGCAGATGGGAGCAGAAAATGTTGCAATGAAGAATATGGAATGAGATGAGATCACAGCATCAGTCTGTCCTTTGTAGATCTGGACAATGATCACAGAGCCAGATTGGATTAGTGAAACCTATTTACCAGAAGTTCAGAGCGGTTGCATGAAGCTGAAAGGCAGTCAGAAGGGAGAGGTGGAAAATGCACCAGATTTACAGCTGCAGCGACGAAAATTTAGAAGTTTTCACCACCGTGATTTCCTCCAAATGTGAGTACAGCAAAACTGTAACAAACGCTGCGGTGTTGTCTTTTAGGTGGATGGGGTGTTTAGCATCAGGGAAATCTCCGAAGTGAGCAGCTCATCCATTCTGCCATGCTGTGCCGTGCTGTGTTTGCAGTCCAGCGCTCGCTGCTTGTTTCTGGAGCTAATCTGTGCAGGTGCTTTGACATTGTGGCTGTGTAAAATCTTTGCACTGGCAAAACTGGGAGATTTGGAATCGGTGTTGATATACCTATGAGGTAATTGCTAAAGTGACAGCTTGCAACTGGGTGGCTATTCTGTGCGACAGAAAAGAGAATTAAGTTCTGCGAGCAGTTAGCAGCTCGGATGAACTGGGTGAACTGCATGAATGTTGAATTTCAGTCTGCTGGCTCAATAAGTGGAACATTTCCAAAGCCATGCCCTGGAAATGAATGCATGATTAACATTAATTGCTTGTAAGGAAGAGTAAGAACCGGACAAAACCCAGTCTGCGTTTGATTGAACAAATTAGTTTAAACTCAATGGCTGCATATTTCAGCAACAAGAAAGCAGGTAAAAGCAGGAAAAACAAATTGTGGGGCCAAATCAGATCTATACTTGCAAGCTGCAAACATGAGCTCTCAACTGCTTAATTTCAGAATATAAGTGGAAATGACAAAGTGAACCATCACTGTAATTGATTTTGTTCCCTGAAAGCTGGACTGTATATACAAATGTACTTTTGCAGGCGAATCCAGAAGCATCATCGGCAAGGATTCATTCTTTCATTCCTGCTCCCACTCCCTGCGGAATATCATGTTTGTGGGTAGAGCTCTGCAGCCCCACTGTTTGCATTGCTGCCATTGTATTCCTGCACAAGTGGATCGCTTCTGGCTACCTCTGTGATTCACTCTTTTTTTCAATGCCTATTCAAGTAATTGCATGTTTGCTGGTCCTTTGACTTCCCTTTCATGCCTTGCCTTTCTTTGCCACTCGCTCTGGCAGACAACAGGCAGTGAGTTGAACTGTGGATCATACATCCTCTGAAAAGAAGAAAATTTATTACTGTTAGGATCATTTATGTGCTGTTCCTTGTGCACCAGCCTGGATACCAAGGACAGCACAACAGTACTTGCTTCTGGTAGAAATCTGTATAAAATGTGCTACTCACACTGTCCAGTAAAATATATAAAATACCAGAAAAACAAGAAGGTAATTCCTTGCATAACTAAACTTTTCTACACTTGAGTGTTTTGCTTTTGAGCAATTAGTTTTGTCCTCATACGACAAGATTCCAGAAGTAAAGGTGACTGCAGCAGCTTCAAAACAAGTCACAACGTATTCCTAGGAAAAAGCCCGCCTTCATTATGTCTGTCTGGTTTTCATCTTATGCTTGCCGTGGTTTAAAACATAAACCGTGTCCTGCAGGAGAAGACAGCAGGGATCCCTGAGGATATCATGCCATGCAAAACAGACAGTAATCAAACTGACAGCTTAGCACGCTCTCGAGCTCTCTGTGGGCTGATAACTTCACTGGTGACGAGTTCAGTGTGGGAGCACCCTGCGCTGCAATGGGTCGCTGGCAGGAACCCCGGACAAGACCAATCGCCTCCCATGTTGCTGTCCTGTTTTGCTAGGAGCAGAGCATGGGACAGAACTTTATTTCTGTCCAGTGGGGTCCTACTGCTCAGCACTTATATCCTCACTGAGGTATCGAGGGGTGGCTTTTAGGCAGACACAAGCTGTCCAGGAAGAGTGAGTTTGGTCCCAGTGCCAGCTCTGCTTGTACTGGAGCCCTGCAAAGCCCGGTCACTTGTTATTCCTGCCATCAGAGGAGAGGAGTTTGGCTGCAGTAGCGAGCAGCCTTGGATGACCTCCAGCTGCTTCCACAGCCTCACAGCTTTTTGCAAACATTAATACATAGCGGTGATAAGCACTGCAACTCCTGGAGTTGAATGTATGCCAAAAATGTAAAGGAAAGCTCACCTGGAGAGTGAGAGTCACCTGTCATCCCATAACAAACCTTCTTGGCTCTTCAAAGCCTTTGGATTATGTGTGGAGCCTGAAAAAGGAAATCCCTGTTCACGTGCATTGCTCTCAGGGTCAGCCTTTAGAACTGAAGTTAATTCTCTGAATTTGGCAGGTTTCTGCAGCCCTGTTTCTGTCACTGGCTGTTAAATCTTGTTGCTCCTGTAGCCTGAACACAGGGGAGAGTAATAATCTTAAAGAGCAGAAGGTAAGATATGATGAGGGGGAAAGCTGGAGGTATCACAGAGACTTTCAGGCCAGTTTCAAGTTAAACTGAAATGATGAGTGTTTAAACAATCTTCACTTTGTCCAAAAACACCCTCACCCAAAACCGATTGCTTCAGTCCAGTCCAGTCAAAACCTTGGTTTATAGTCCTGACATCCCATGTGTCTCGCGGCTAGTGATTCTGTTCTGCTGACGATTTTGGTGTCTTCATGCATCTAAGAAATAAGATTGAGAAACAGACTTTAAGCAAAATGCCCCAAGCTAAAGAACTAAATGAAGAACATTTTGAGGATTGAAAAGACTAGGCTTAGTGTAAATGTTGTGCTTTGGGTATCATGCAGTAAAAATGAAATGATGTCATGAAGGAGCTTGAGCTTATTGAAGAAGTCCCTATCTAGACAAAACGATAGGCCTCTCCAAAGTTAATGTATACACTGGCCAGGCTTGAAGGTGACTGAATAGGAAGGGAAGCTCATTTCCTTCTGAAATGCTGGCAGGTGGGAGGCCAGATCAAAACTCAGGAAGGAGAAGATTGGTTCCTCCTGGAAGCCTATGGGAGAGGTGCAGAAACTTGGGGAAGGCTGTTGCCCTGTGCCCACAGTTGTCTGTATTGTATAGCGAGAGCATCATCTCTGAGATGACATTAAAAAGGACATTCTTTGGGTTGTTTCAGCTGGAATCCTCCTTAAACCCTTTCTCCTTCCTTCCCTCCCCACTATGCCCCTAAGGCATTCTCATGAAGAAGTTTTAGGGGCTTGTGTAACCTCATCTTGCCCACCTTCTTTGCTTTCTGACCGTGTTCCTGTTCTTTTTGCAGCATGTAGTCCTGCCCGAAGACGAGCCAGAAGTACGCAGCACATCCTAACAAAGAGTGTAAGAAAAATCTCGCTTTCTCTCCCTATCTTTTTAAAAAAATAATTAATTATAGTTGGCTACGCTTATCCTTAAAAATGCTGTGGATAAATGGGAAGCAGATCTTTCAGGTCAAAGAAGGTCATCAGTGTCTGATGGAGGGAGTGGGGTGGGAAAGAGGGAAAGTTCTGTAAAGCTACAGTTTATTTACAGAAGCACTTTGAAACTTCAAATAATACAATCTTGCTGTACAGAGGCAGTCAAAATGAACATAGCAGCTTATTAACATGGTCATCTGAGGGAATCACAGACTTAATTCTTATCCATAAAACCTTAATAATAGTGCCAGAGGCACAGGCAGGAATGAAAAACAAACAAATCATATTAATACATATACACGTTTATCAAGGAGCCAGTATCCCGTTCCCCGAGGAATCTGGGAGAAAAACACCAAGCAATGGACTCCAGCTGCAACTCAGACAGATGGCTTTGAGAGAGCCACAGGAAGATGCTTGTCCCTTGATTCTGGCAGCGCTTGCCTGTCCTCGACTCCCCCGCTGTGCACCAGCACAGAGGGCACTGCCAGAGCTTTACCCTCTCCCTGCAGGTGAGGTATCCCCCCCCCCGAGATTCAAATAACTGAACATTTTTCATGCTCTGATAAAATGTTTTCCAGTTTTGGACACTTTGACACACAAGCATGAGGTTTTTTGTCTTCACAGACAGTTTTCCCTCCTAAAATTCACTTGGCCCATTCACCACCACTTCCACCATCCTTTTATCACCGTTCTGCCTTGTAAGAATGACGGCCTCTTGTGCCCATCAAAGCACTTTTTACAAGCTTTGAGACTCTTCTGCCAAATCATTTCCTCTCACTACAGACCTGTCTCTTCTTTAGCACTTTGTTGAAATATTTTGCTCCATGGCCTTTCCTTTTTCCATGCCCTACCCTACTTCCCAGCCCCATCCTGATTTGTAAACAGCCTTCTCTTCGTATTCCTGATTTCCTAATCTCCCCACAGCTCTGCAGGTCTACCCTGCTTACCACACTTACCCAGGCACTGGGAAAAAAGCCTTCCAATATTCTCTCCCATCCCTTCTCTTGGTTTTTAAAGTGGCTCACAGGATCCCCGTGCTTCACAGGATGCCTGAAGTGGTCCCCAGGAAGGGGCAATAAGACACCTGCCAAGTTTGGGTAGAAACTATGGATGTGTGTATTTTTCTCAAATTGTGAAACTCTTCCTTTTTGTCCCATAACTAAGGCTGAGGTTTTGAAGTGTCTTTTCATTCCGGATTGGAATGAGTCAGAGTGTTACTCAAAAGTCATTTTGAGATAACCCTTTTTTATTTCTTATGTCTTTGGCATATTTTGTTTTCCATGAAATATAAAAAACCAGCAGAAAAGTCCAAACCAAAAGTGAACTATTCTGACTTAATAAAACAGAATGCTCAGATAATTTATTTTTTTTTATTTTTTTTTTTACTAAAATAGATTACTTTTCCAACAAAATGCCCAGATTTCTAACCAGGATTTTCTCATAAAACTATCTGGCTTGAAAATTTTCAGCTAGCTCTCATCAAAATCTTGGGGAAGTGTATGTCTGTTACCATGTTATGAATCTCAGCAGACAGGTATTTGTTGTTTCTGCTAAATGGAAGCCGCTAATACTTAATTTGGATTGGATCAGCCGCTGCAACAGCACTGTACTCATAAAGGACTAAGAAAATAAGATAAGAAAGCCCCTGTTTTGTTGCTGTGTTTTTAGAGGATTTTTGTTCTCCTTTGGGGCTTTCCTGACCCCAATTAAAGATGTCCTTTGATTGGCCCTTAGCCATGATGCAGGAAGCATTGTATTAGCAGTGGGAGCACCGAGCCTGAGGAGTGGTCTGCAGCTCCAGCTGAGAAAACAATCAGGGCTCGCAAAGCAAAGCAAAGCAGCTGGTGCAGTCAGCGCTCCCTCGTGCATCCCCCTGCTACAGTGCGATGTTTACAGCTGCATTCAAATCAAGAGTGAGTACTGGAATATACATGCCTGGGAGGAAGTTGTGATTGCCAATTTCTAGACCCACACAAATGATTATTTGAATGATTATTTGTTTTTCATTTCTATCCCTGCACCTGCAGTCAGTGCTGTAGAAATGCCTCAGCTAACAGGAGATCTTCTGCTTTGGTGATTGCAGTAGATGCACAACTTTAATCCTCGACAAGGGCAAAAATAGCAAGCAACATGGACATCTGCCAGACTTTTTTTTGTAGCAGAAATACTCAAGCAGTGTAGCTTTAAGTGATTTAACGTTCAGATGACTGACCTGGGGGATAACTTCCATCACATTCAAGAACCCATCCCAAAAGCACAATCATGACTGTGGAAGGGTGAGAGCAAGGGGGAAACAAACATCTCTTTTTTTAATTGACTGTTTCACCAGTATGCTTATTTGCACTATAATACTGCCCTATTGAATTCTTTCTATGGATAGTAGATCCTTCCCTTCTTTTCCTCTGCTCTCCCAGCCCCACAGTCCTTTGGTTAGAACTCTAAAACCAGTCTGGACACCAATACCTGGCTGCTTTGCAGAAAAATGGCAAATCCCTCTGGGCACACTAGTGCTGCCACATTAAAAATGAGATTAGCGTTATACCATCGAAAACTAGCTATTTGTAACTTAACTCTACAAATCTGGCAATTTCTCCACTAACAAGCACTTTGTTGTTCAGCCTCTAAGCTTCAAAGATTTATTCAAAGCCAGATGTTTAACTGTCACCTTTTCTGGTTGGTTGTTGGTTCAGCAGTGGGATTTTGGGTCAAGGAGCACTGGCTGGGTTGTTGGAACATCCTCTGCACCACTCTGCAACCCTCCTGCGTCCTCTGTGCTCGCTGCTTAACACAACTAATTCAAACAGCGGGTATGCCAGGTGGTAAAACCACCAATAAAGCCTTTGCTGAGCTCTGAATTCAGAGTCAGTATCCTGCAAACAGACTAAGCCGGTCAGGGGACTTAAAGGTTCTAAAACCTGTAGTTATTTGGAGAGCAATTCACTAATTCTGCATAGTTTAGCTGACTGACATTTCACACAGATTTAAATTCCCTGATACTTCCAGAAAAGAAAAGTGACCTCCAGCTGATCCTTCTGCCTTACCCTAGGTACCCTAGAGAAATGTCAGTTGCAGTTTAGATCAAAACTGCGCTATAGCAGGTTTAGTTTCCTGACCTAGATAAGTCTTTACACATTACAGTAATGGGTGATGTAGCCAAAGTCACGGTGAAATCTCAAATTAGGAAGTAAGAAACTCCAGGAGTGTACAACAGCCAAATGCTGCAAAGAAAGATGATAACTGAAGATGTGCTATAGACATTGCACTGTTGTCTCCAGCTGTAATGGGAAATGGCATTTTGACTTATTTATGCAGATTCTTCTGCTTGAGAGCATCTTGGCACTACTGAGAACAACATCTAACAAGGAATCTTGAAAACATAGACAGCATGCATAAATAGTTCCTGCTATTAATGGAGTTAGAAATCCTGCTTCCTTTCCCCAAACTGTGTTTCATCCTTTGCAACACATAGGCAGATCATTAAGTTTCAAGTCAATGGTGGTTTATAATGATCAAATAAGCCACTTTCAGGATTAGAGACAACTGCAGCCAGCATCCTACTTACCAAAAATGGTCTTTCCATGACCATGCAAAAGAAGCAACCTCAGGTATCTCAGTAGCAGAGGGCTGATGACATTTTCTGTCACACACTGAAGAAAACTGAGTGTGACCAAGAGCACTGTGCGTATTTCCAGAGCTGGTGGGAAAAGCAGAGGAATGGGGAGGTCCTGGATCTGGTCCAGAGGCAGCTGGGAAAGAGCCAGCACCAACTGCTTCAGCGGCAACAGGAGGCCTCTCACCACTAGCACCACCCTCCTTGCTGAACTACCCAAGCGATGCTGGGGCTTGGCTCTGCAGAGCCAGATCCATGGTCAGTAGAGCTGGGCCCCAGCCGCAGACTCCTTTAGCATGTGTTCACCTCTTCAAGGACACCTGTAGTCCCTCTGACTTTAACTTAACACTGGGCATGTCCTTAAGTAGCTTACAGAGCAGGGACTATGTTAGTCTGTGTGCCAAAATCCGCACAACTAAGAGAAAACCCCTCTTAGGTCTTGGATTAGGCTTCGATTGCCTCGCCAGCCCTTGCCAGTAGTATTTTTCACTGCCATTTCTGCTCCTTGTCCTGCTGGTCACTAGGATCAGTAGGATGTAGCCTTCTCCAGACTTCTGAAGGTATACAAAGTCAGAAGAGTAAAAAGTAGTCAGGTTGGGGTTTTTCTTTTTCCTATTTTGGAATACATTGGTTTGCATATGTTTTTATATCTGTGTAAAAATTCCCATACACAGACTATTGCAGATAAAACTTACTTAAAGGAAATGGACAGTTTTGTGTGAGGGGATAGGCTTGAATGTGGTCTTGTTTTTATCTTGAGTGTATGTTAGAAGGCAGAGCAATAGATGGAATTAAGGCTTTTTCTATGCCCATAGCAGGCTAGACAGTTGCTGGTCTCCATTTTGAGACAAAATAAGTGTATTTATATGTAAAACACGTAGATGGCAACTATCAATCATTAGGTGCAAGTAACTGCTTTTCTCCTGGTCTTCCAACATAAGATAAACATAACTAAGTCTAATAGGAAACAGTCAGATTAGTTGTCATGTGTTTTGTTTCCTTGCTGGTTTGGATTTTTTTTCCTGTTTAATTTGTTCCCTGTATGACAGCAGCAAGTCTTCCAGGAAGAATAAAAGAAAAAAAATGAAGTACGAAACACTCTTTTCCTGCTGTTGGGACTTTAATCTTCTTGAGAAAATAGTTTCCAGACCTTCCTGGATAACAGTCCTGATGGATCCACCTGCTTGGAGCCTATCCCTGACTTTTTAAGCTCACATTATCTCTGGTTTACCCAGTTGCCTGTGGCATCACAGTGAGAGGCATCACTTAGTCATGAGCGATGTAGAAAAGAACTTGATTTTGTTCACAGTCATTTTCAGGGACTCTGTTTGAGATGCAGCTCTCATAGAGTTTTGCTTTTGCAAGCTAAGGTTTGTGAAAATTAACCTCTAGGAGCACAATTATTCACCTCCCTGTATCCTCTGTAGTCATTTACCAGGTAAAAAATGTAAATAAGTCCAAAAGACGGGACAGGCCATGAAGAAATATCATTTGTAATTCACATTGCATAAGTTTACCTAGAGTGCCCAAGATATGATGCAATAAGAAATTCAATTTGAGCTGCCTCAAAGGCATATCCTATTCAGTACATCTTGAAAAGCACCACATCTCAGTCTCCAGAGGAGAATGCAGAAAGGTGTAACTAAGTAGCTGGGTCCCAGAGAGACCACATTTCATTTTTCCGTACTTCTATACACCTCATGCCTTGAGACAGGAGCCAAACAAAACAAACCCCACAGTCCCTACCCAACAAAATCCCCTTCGGATGACAGTAAAGCAGCAGGAAGAGCAAGTGCCGTGCTGCTCTGCTGTTGCCTTGACAGACCACCTCATCTCCACAGCTGGGTGTAATGGGATGGTTTGACCTCTTCCCTGTAGGTGGTAGCCATATCCGACCATCGGCCCCACAGGACGGAGAGGCTGCAGCCCCACCAAGGCGACCTCCTCCAGGTGCTGTACAGCGAAGATGAGCTGCGGGGCTTGGGCCGCCTGCAGAACAGGCAGCGGGGACCCTGCCCCACCAAGGGTGCTGCCCTGCATGGTAAGAGCACAGAAATGGCTTTATTCTTCTGTCCCTTCAGAACATTTTTAGACATTACAGTCTTCCAGTTTGCAGAGAAGCAGGTGCTTTGTTATGTACCTTCCATGCTTAAAATGTTTGGTGAAATTAATGAGATAATGGCCGTGGCTTTGCAAACCTCTCGCTTTGTTCAGAGTCATAAAATCACTTTATTCAGAATCATAAACTCGCTTTATTCAGAGTCATAAACGCTCCCTTTCCAAAGGCTGACAATATTTTAGAGATGATAGACTGTGTATTACTGAGTTTGCCTGAGTCACCTTATTATATAAGATCCCAACTTAGAACTTGCCAGAACATAATTATTTGGGATGAAATTTTAGATTCTGGATGTCTGCCACAGACCTGATTTTATTTTTTCAACCAAACTTGTTCAGCATATTTGTGAGAACCCGTGAAGGAAAAGTAGAGTTTGCCAATGCAAAACCAAAGAAATTACTAAACATAAATAGGCTGGTCACTCAGCTCCTTCAGCCTTGGTGTGTTCTGTTTGGAAGGTCAAAGCTGGAGCAGGACCATGCAGTTTGGCAAGGGTTGGTCTTTTAATCAGAAACACATCTTTTACTCTCCCTTGAAAAACCACCCAGATGCAGTCAAGTAATGAGCCTTTGGAAAAATCCCATGTGGCACATGTTTGGTAGAGACATTGGATGGATGATAGCTGTTAAAAGGTGCTAAATCTGTTTTTAAAGGTGCTAAATCTGTATCTGCCAAAGCAGATACTACCACGAAGGTGCATGTTCTTCACACCACCACACTGCTCATAAGCCATCCCATTAGGAACACAGGCCAGAGAAGACCAGCGCATGGGAAATTGGGAAGGAAGAAACTGAGCTGG